TACCCCCGATTCAAAACGGCGATTCACACTTGGGGACCTTCCCTCGTTCGTTATTAAAATAGTCTAAAGACTAAGTCGTTTAAGTGAGATTATCAAATTTCAACATGTTAAGCTATTACTTCTGATTTGTATCTTGATCTTACTAATTAAATAAATATGAATGATATATTTATCGATCTCTGAATAACTCTAAAAATTCTTTTCTTTTTCATCTAGAGAAATAAAACAGATCAACATCTATCTACTGGATGTCTTCAATTATCTGGTTTAGTTATTCGTGGTCATGCAATGCTCTCACATGAAGGTTTACCACCTGAACGTGAAACACTTGAATATGCTTGGCAAATGGAAATTATACTTGGTAAAATCTCAGCTCGTTTAACAACAATTCAAGTAAGAAATCAAAAACAAAAAAAAAATGTTTTTTTTGTAAATAAATAATATCATTCTATTGTGCTTAGTTAGAAAAAACCTTAGGTTTTGTTAAAAATTTTTATTTACAAATAATGGAAGATGAATATACACTTGGTCGTTCACCATATATTGATAAAGCAAAATGGATTGAAAAACTTAAATATGATGTACTTAGATTTAGTTTAGATTCAATTGATCTTAATCTCATTGAAGTTGGAAATGCTGTTAATGTTCAAGTAAGAAATATTCTATATAATTTCTTCATCTTTTGATAATTTTCTTGTTTTAGATAGCACCTATTCGTTTATGTATGTGTAATATGCATACATCATTATGTAATGAAAGTTTAACTTTAAAAGTTGGTACAATACAAATTCGACAACTACTACGTCTTTATCCTGATTCATGGTTAGAAGCTGGTTCAGTTAGCGTTCCTGAATTACGTATTAATGCAAAATTTGAATGTCATCCACCAACACCTGCTACAATAAATGAACAATTAGAATTTCTCCGTCGACATGATCAACATTCTCAACGACTACATTTTCTTTATAATCCTAAATCTCAACAAACATTAAATATTCCAACAATATTAACAAATTTAAAACGTCCATCTTATGTTGGCTTAGCAACAAATTCTAATATGTTATCATGTGCATGTCTTGGTGGTTCAACAAATTATTATACACTTGTACAAGGTGAACAATTTTTTAAAAGTACATTTCGTCTTAGTGATCAATCATCATTTGGTCGTTCATTATTTCATCCGGAGTTACATGTTTTACATTCACATTTTATATTTGAACATAAATATAATTGGACTAATTATGAACATGTTAATCGATTACATGATGAATTAGATGAAGAAGAAATTTTTTATCCATTTGATTTTTGTGGACAACAAAAACAATCTACTGAACAACATCAAAATATAAATATAAATGATAATCTATTACGACGTAGTGTACCAACAGATTTATATTCATTATCACGTGCTACTTCATTAAGAAATTTAAAACATAAATCAGTTATTGAACGAAATGAACATAAACGTTCATCATCATCAATACCATTAAATAATATAAATATGGTTTCATCACCATCACCACAAACACCAGGAAGTGATGATTATTTAACACCTAATGAACATTTATCATTAACAAGTGCAAGTCAAACAAGTTTAAGTTCAACTTTAAATAATACAAATAATAATATGGAATCATCATCAATATCATCATTAACTATGATGCAACAACAATCATCAACTTTATCATCACCCATGCATTCAGATTTAAATTTATTTTTAACATCAATTGGTAATAAACAAAATCTATCAACAAATTCATCATGTTCATCATCAATTGATTCATTAACAGCTCTAGAAGAAATATTTCAAAGACAACAAACAAGAAATAGTACAACTTTTCTACCTCAAAAAGTATATATACATATATTATTTGAAAGAAAAATCAATTATAGTTCTTTTTTGTTTTGAGACATTAGATTTATTTTGTTTACTGAGATAATCGTAACTACAAAAAATCGACATCAGTTATTTTTTCTACTATTTTATATACTAACAAACTAGACTGATTGATTTCGATTTTAAGTCTTTCACAAAAGAAATATCTCGATTTCTTCGATTCATATTATACATAGTTGAATGACTAACGATCGGATTAATATCACCAGCTATCACTACACTAGAACGTATCATTAATAGTTCACACTGATTATATTTCAAGTATATTCAGATTTTTCAAATAATAAGAATTTAATGATTTGTGTGAAGATGAGATATAATACAAAATTTTTCTATCTTTTAGGGAACTTCATCAAACATGGAATATAATACTGTACCACAACCATCTCTTCCTAGTTCGTCATGGATAAGTTTACGTAATCAAATGAAAATGCCTATACCAAAATCGACTCTTTTATGTACAACATACATTCGTTATTTATCACATTATCGTTCTTCAACATGGTCCAATATCGCTACATTCCCACCAAATATTCAACAAGATCAAATTGATTCTCGTCCAATACTTGATTTTAATTGTGTATCTCAAGGTTTTTGTTGCTCATATTTATCTGAAATGTCTCCATCTTCACAGTCATTTACTACTCCATTATCTCGACAACCACCATCTCAACAACAACAATCTCAATCACAAACATCATCATCAACAACAACAGCAAATTCTCGACCACGTCTTTCAATTGCTCAAACAATGTCACCAGTAAATGCATCAAATGTAATTGCTACAGAAAGAGAAGTATGTCTTCGATTTATCGGAGCATTTAATATTCTTTTAACACCACTTATGCTTGAATGTTTAACAGTATATATTGAAAAATGGAAAACATACGATATTCATCCAATATCTATTCTTGATGGTCTTCACGTTCAAGCACAAACACAATCAAATCCGTCTGTAACATCAGTTGATTTATCGGCAACCAGAATATCTTTACAATTACCTAAAATAAATGTGTGTTTATTACAAGCTGGTTTAACTGAAGATAATGTTCAATTAACTGAATTACGTACACCTGTTGATATTGTTACAATGTCATTATTTGCACTTTCATGTAAACAAATACAAATGGAAACAATTTTATCTAATCGTGATCAATCAACAGCTGGTGTTTTTAAAATTCAATCAATAACAGGACAATTTCG